AACGGCAGAAGTCCATTGATAACAATATCCCATGTTGATGGAAAGATATTCTCGTAATAACATGGGTAACCGCAAAATATTAAGTTAAAATCGTACATACTTTCACATGGATATATAAATAGAACATATACATAGAAACATATAGGATAAATAATACAGAGGCTGATCGGCAAGTAATGGAACAGATATCTTTTATATTTGACGTTCATCATATTTCTGTTGAAAATTAAGAAATGACGTTCAATGCATGCGTAAGCCATAAGATAAGTATTCATTGTTACAAGCGAGTACCGATAAAAATGTATAAATGAACAGTAGATATTTGATTCGGGAACCACAAAGTTGTTGTACAGAGACTGCTCCATCATCGGCAATGAAGTTGTGCAAAACAAAACACTTACACATAGCAAGACAAGAATGACATTGTGGTTAACCGATTGATGCAACTGGCGATTAACTTTGAACTTATATAACATGTATATTGAACATACAATCGAGGATGGTTGACATATTAAAAGAGTATAGAAATATTTCTTATAAAGTGATGCTGAACTATCAGACATATTCCTATTCAGAATGTGAACAAATAGATTGGGAATATAATTTCAATAGCAAAAGCAGCTTTGCTCTATGAAATATGTTCACATATATGTTGTGATAATTATGTAAAAGAAGAGCTTTTTAATATAGGATATAATGTTCACACTACATTGAGCACATTTCGAGTTATTTCAAAGATTATAATAAAGTAAATAAATCATTAGCAATAATATACGCTATATTCAACTCCGACGGATATGAAATCACATCATTAGTTTGATGTAGTTGTCCTTCTATTCATTTCGCTGATTAGCATCTACCTACCCTAAATAGACAGCGTTTCCGTAATTTCGGAATAAATGATCCACACGTTCAACAAAAGCTTGTATTAGAGAAAATAGGATGCTAGGTACACTGTAATTTTGAGTTTATTTCCAGTTTATAGAAAATCGACCGAAAAATCGCCGGGGATTTTCTAATTTATAAAAAAACAATCTAATTTCTGTAAATAATTTCCAAGAATCTGGAAGTTCGATTTTAATTTTCTATAAACTAGAAAATCCCCGGCGATTTTCTAGAAAGTGAAAATTCGTCTAGGAATTTCTAGACCAAATACTAATTCATCTTTTTGTTTTGCAATCAGTGTAGGTATAAGAGCGTCATGTAAAGACACTCATATTACACTTAAATCAACTTTGACAGTTTCTACTTTAGATCACAATTCTGCCTATGCCAGGAAGACTTTTGATTTAGGCAGAGACAGTGGAGGCGCGAAGTTTGTTAGGAAGGTGCGAAAATCAGAGACGTTCACTAGAAACTTCTCAAAAGCATGAGCGGGATCAATCTCAATACAACCTGGTCGCACCGCCACGCGGTGCAGACCCGCCAAGGAATTTTCAGTTTATGAAAAACCAAAAAGGAATATCTATTTTTTGGGAATTATTTATAGAAATTCAACGACAATATTCTAGATTGTTGGAAATTCGATTTTCTACAAACTGGAAAATTCTCGAGGAATTCCCATAGGTACTCTTTGATTCGCCGAGCATTTTCCATAAATAACTTCCAATCTTACAGTGTAGTCACAGCTTGACCTACTTTTCTTAAAATAAGGAATAGAAAATGTGATTTTTATGTTCAGTTAATTTAGGACTTAAAGACGAAACAAATATTTGAATCGACTTGTTTCAACCTCATTTATTTAAAATGCTTTTAAGTATGAAATGTATGGATGAACTCATCTATAACTATTTTTTTCTGGTTTTGAACTACTCACCGATGTTATCGGTAGTACAGGATCTCGCACATAAAAAAGATTAAATCTTTTTAACTTATACGCTCTGCATCACCATTACTAACTAGAGTAAATGATATTATTGGTCCCCAACTATCATTTGGTAAAATCGCACTGAAAATTCTAATGCAGTTAGAATCACTACTTTCAGTTACTGTACATTAGAAGAACTATTTAGTTCTCTAGCAGAGAAAATCGAAAAAAAGTGAGCGTCACAGAATTTTACCTGTTTTTGCTTTGCTTTGCAGATGATTTACTGTATATTTCTTCTGCCACAGAGCTACTTACCAAGCCCTCATTTGCACATAGACAGATAGTCTGAGGTGCCCTCTATCCGATGCAGCAGAAAATAAAGTTTCAAAATTAGATTAAACCGACAGAAAATTGCTCACAACATAAACGCCAAAACCTTTTTTAGAAAATCAAAAAAAAGATTTAGACATCCAGACATAAAAATCAATGACGTAGTTTGTACAGAATTCGATTCTCTCTTCGATGATATAGTTACCAGAATTTTCGAAAAAAATATCTAGGACAGGAAAGTGAACTTAAATTATCACTAGAAAATTTAACTTTAATTTGTTCTTCAGTTCAGAATTCGTAATCAGCACGAAAAACTGCGTATAATGATGTATTTCTAACCTTTGTTCGAGTAAAATCTATCACCTTTTAATTTAAGATAATTTTAGGACATAATGATCCAAGTTTTGCTGTATAGAAACGAGATCGTTTTTCTTAAACGAAGTTAGTGAACCAACAAGAGTACGCAAATTCTAATGACAGTCATTTATGGGTATTGCGTAAACAGACAATATCATGCGCGAAAATTTTTTGGTGTATTCGATATTCGGTAAATCGATTTCCGTGCATATCTACACATAATTCAACCATCCATACTCGAATTCAAAAGAATCAGGCACCAATCATGTTTGAGTCATTACCTTAGCATGTTTTTATTTTAAATATTTTAAAACTTTTTCTAGAAAGGTAATCGGTCTTACTCTCATCCTGTCATGCACAGCAAATAGTGCGGAATAAAGGACAGTAAAGCTTGACCTTCAATTTACTATATTCGAAATAAATATTCCAGATCAACGAACAAGTGTCGGTCCATCAACGAACAAATTATTGCGTACCACATAATCAACCATGAAGAAGACGAATCTGCAATCAGTTTTGACCGACCAAGCTTTTAAAGTTTTTCGATCCTGTGATATGACTATATGGGAGTAACACGGTTGATATGGTCTACAAATCTAGCGTAGTCATTTTCCTTGAAATGACTTTGAGATTTATGACTCCTCTCCCGTCAGGACTTTGAAAATTTTTTTCAAAATTCAATTTTCAGAAGTAACTAGGAATATCAAGTCCGCTACGCTGATCACGAATATCGCTATCTCAAATCCTAGAAATGCAGTGCTGAAGCACCAGACAATTTTTACCAATACCTGGTTTTTGGACTCCAAACCCGGTTTTTAACCCTCCTCTCGCACAAACTGGTCTCTAAATGGTTCGAAAAAGTGTCCCTTAGATGCAACCTTCACTCACAGCTCTATTCAAATCCGGATGAATAAAGATCATCAGAAATGTTCAAATATTTATAACAACGAATACGACTAGGATGAGGGCAGGATAAGCATAGGCGACCCTCTTTCCAGTGCTGCCAGTCCACTGAACACTTTCGAACTCAAGTGAGACTGTAACAGTTATATGTAATTCTTCGAGCACTATCCAAATATGTCATTGGATCGATTTAAAAAGGCCGGCATCAGACCGAAAATTCATTTTTCTAAATATGCGGCGAAAAAGTAGGAATTCTGCTCATAATTCTCGATTTTTTCAATCAGAACTCAACTTCTATGTAATAAAAATTCGATCTTGTTACTCCCATATAGTAATTTCTCCCATATAGTAAAATATCGTGGGCCGAAAAATGCCCTTAACGCCCCTCGTCCTTTATGTTGTGTTTATATCGGGAAAATGACTGTGTCTTTTGATTTCACTAATTTCTCATTGAGTAATTAACGGTAAAGGTGATTGACTGTCAATTCATGAGGTGGATAAAGCTCGAAATTCTCTACAAGATGGACCAATTTTTAATTGAAAAGGTAAAAGTTCACCGTAGGATCAAAGATGATTTACATAGTCCCAGTAGTTTTTGCTGTGATGGTTATTATCCCAAATGGGGTTAATTATAACCAGTTAAGAGTAACGCACTGGAAATTGAATGTTACTCATTGACGGTAATGAATTTTCAGACAATTTTTACAACAGTGCATAGCTGAGAGTCATATGTTTCTACCTGTGTAGTCACCACTTTTTCTCCGACTAAAAATGGTTTAACTATTTGTATTGACTAAAAAAAGTGCTGTGATCACATAAATTCAAGCATAAAAAATATTTGATGCATCGACTGGTTGTGCTTCATAAGTGTTGTTGCGTTTTCACATGTGAGTTTACGTGGTCACTGTTTGTCTTCCAGCAGTCAGAAACACTATTTTGAATTCCACCTTTCACAAAACATCCTGTGGATGTATCTCTAGATTATTCACTCTAAGTTTTGACTGTTTACTATTGTATGGTTCACGATAATCGATTGAGAATAAATAAAGACTAATGCGCAATAAACGCAGAGACAAAAACTTCAGGAACTAAGGCCGTATTAGTGTTTCTTTTGCATACGATATACATCACAATTATACTAAATATAATCATAAGAGTATATAATGACAAAAAGCATAGATAAAATATGTCAAAAAAGTTTCGACACATTCTACCTTCTTTTTCTTAAACATACATCTGTATCTTACATACATGTATAGAACTCATTCATCGTGAAAATGAGTTCTACACTTTAAAATTTATAGAGAAATATTTCTGCAATCGATGCATGTATTTCTCTTTTATTTAGTCAAAGAAATATAAACGTCAGTGATGATACCATTTATGCCATATCGTGATTTTCTTAAACTTCAAAACAACATCAAAGCAGAAAGCGGAAAATGATAGCAATAGATAATTCTACAATAAATTTTCTTTTATTAGTCAGGAGATAGACCCTTTAGTGGAATTAGGAAAAACAATATACAATAAACGTATACACGAACGGATGGAACTCTTATTAAATAAATACTAACTTCTAAAAGCAGTATCCTTTTATTTTTGTCTATGTTTTTTTCCCTTTGGGACCTGGTGGATTGCTTAAATCTTTTGGTAATTCTCTTGAATCCGTGAATATCATCCATTTTTCTCTTGGTACGCCTTTAAACGCGGTGAAAAATCGTTCATCGTCACCCTTTTCACCCTTGACAGCACGAATAAATATTGAACGTACACGCTTTGGATACATCCGTGCTATGCTCCCATAGATTTCTGGGTCACGTTCACCACTATCACCGACAAGTACCAATGTACGCAGACTGTTGTAAACAAAATACCGTATATGATTTATCTTGTGCATCTTTGTATCTGGAAGGAAAAAAAGACCGTTTGACAATTAGAAAAAAATACCCCGTTTCTTACCTTGAGAATGAACAAAACCGTAGATCGATCCTAATGACCGCCAAGGAAAATGTCTACAAAATTATTAATTTCAGATTAGCATTCGAACAAGTGTTATGAGAAAGACTGACCTCATATGATATGTACCCTCAGGAAATCTTTCCTCATCGAAAAATTCTTTGGTAAATGTATACAATTGATCGGGCATTGCACTTATATAATGAAATGTACAATTGTGTTTTGCTTTCCATGTACGATAAGTTTCTGGCATTCCTAAAATACAATTGAAAATCAATGACATGTTTATCATAAAAAGGTAGATAAAGGGACAATTGTTTACTCATCCACTGAACGTTTTGTCCACTACTCACTCTGTCTCAGACACTAGCGGATCCAGCTAGCGAGCGGTACGAGCGACCGCTTATATTTCTATGGCGACCACACATACTTCATACTTTCCTTACCTACCATATGTACCTTAGAAAAATTCTAAATCCGGACATCCGAGACTCTTGAATAACAGAGGAAAAAATGCATTCCTCTACCACCCTCTCCTATCTATGCTGATTGTCAAACGAGATTGTGATTTACCTGGGACAACTCTGAATTTATGTATAAATGTATTAGCCACTAATCGAATTTTGTCTATCACTTCCGATATTTTAACAGTATCATCAATATCTGAAATAACGGCCAGTCCTTTCCGTTCCACCAGATAAATTGTTCCCTTCCACGAATCATCATTATCTCCTATAGCTTTATAGGCTATTTGTTGATTTTTCTTTAATTTTTGAACATCAGCATTTTTAAACATATATGAAGTTCGAAATTGTCCATCTTTATCTGTTTTTGTCGAAAAATTTTGATTACCGATTTCTATTGTGATTCTTTCATTCGATTCATCTTGTAGCATAAATGGCTTCAAGCGCTCACGTTGAAACGTATCATTAAAATAGACAAGTTGTTCATCACTGGCCACTACACGAGCTAAACGTTGAGCAGCTGCTGATGATGATTTACCAAGAAATTTATTTCGTATTGACGTCTGAAATCTCCAACCGTGTACATTTAAGCGCCAACCGCCATCTTTTGTTTCAAAACCAACATTTGGAAATAACATCATTTCTTCATAATCGTAGCGTGTTGTATCAATACCATGACTGCTAGCTACTTTTTTCAATTTATCTTGTAGTTTATGAATCAACTGAGTGCTAGTCAATGATAAATAGATCAGTATAAGGATGAAATAGTATGAGATTTTTATTGAGAGCATTTCAAATATCTGAAATTGACTACACACTCTAAAAAGAAAACATTTAATAAATCAAAAGAACCTTTAGATTTCGTTCTGAACTTAAAAAGAGTTTATTAAAAACGTCAAAAACTAAAAAGCGTTTTGTAGTGATTAAAAACTCCTTTTATTTTGTACAGAACTGTATTTCTATTTTCTTGTAATAATATTTCGGTACTGTAAGATACGGTAAGAGTTTTTAAATTGACAGGAAATATCAAAACTTTTGTTCGGTCTCTTGCAAAACCCTTTTCGGTCTATCACTTCCTCAAACAACTAAAGCTGATTTAGTATAAATCTTTTTTTTCAATCATTAAAAAAAATTCAACCGTTTTGCAGCCAATCCATCGCGTATTTCGTTATTCCTAAAGTACGCAATCGATTTTGTAATCAATCAAGTTGAATTTTTATAATACGCATACACCGTTTTTGGAAGCATAAAAACCATATTGCCTTATCTTTTTTTTTCAAGAAATTTTAGTTTCTTTTCGTGTTTTTGTACTTTTTTTTCAATTTCTATCAGGTATTTTGGTCTTGACCATGGGCTAAACAGTTATCTTATTTAGAAATAAATAAGACTTTTTCTCTATACTGTTTCACTTTTAGATAAAATACAGATAATAACCGATGGTTTTATTCTTCCAAAAACGGTGTATAAAAATTCAACTTGATTGATTATAAAACCCGATTCATACTTTAGGAGTTACGAAATACGCGATGGCATGGTAGTATCGCTGCAGAATGGTTGGGATTTTTAATGATTGAAAAAAAGTTTAAACAGTATGTGAAGAAACGGTTAAGCGTTTATTACTGTTTTCAAAACCCATAAATCTATTTTCCGTTTTTCAGTGACACAAAAATGTTAATAAAAACCGTGCTTCAATGCGTATATTATGCATTTTGTACTCGAGTTCCAAAATCTCAAGAAAAAGTAAAAAGTTCCAAAATAAACAGAACTTTATAATGTTCTCGAGCAATTATATGCCGAAAGTTTACTCGTTCGAACGATGATGTCTGTGGTTATCTATAATATATAAGCTCAAACGCTTTCCTCTAATTTATCTCGATCAGATATAGACTAGTGTTACTCGTAATTAACCTGCTCAGATATTCAATATTTCGCTTAGATCATACATGGTGTTAAGCTATCATTGGAGAGAAAACGTATACTTCGGTTTGTCAAGAGGTTTTATCAAATCGCATGTATGAACAATTAAACATATGTGAAGAAAAGCAAATAAATTTGAATAAGAAAACTATAACAAAAGAAATTAAATCTAATCTACAATAAACTCAATATAAGTATTCTCGACTCATCGACAAATTCACATATATTCAATAAAATATAATTCCTAATTGTTATGTGAATATGATACAGTACTAATAAGCATTTATTTCTAATCAGGAACAAAGAGTAGTTAATTAATTAAATAGTGCGAGATGTATAAATACGTTTAGTTTTCTGAATCTTATTATAACAGAAAATTATTGAGTCTCATTCATAACTTCATCCGTTAAAAAAGATGTATTCAGTTGTCGAAACAGAGAAAGCTAAAACTTGTTTGTTATTTTTAGGATATCGTTATTTAAAAAATAGAGTGCGAAACCAAAACACGTACGGACGTTATGAAAATCGTTCAATCTGCAAGAGTCGTGCTATTCAAAGGAGATCTGAAGTCCTAGTTGTTTGAACATCGCATAACCATGAAGTGAATGTAGAGCGCATTTTCATACTCAATTTAATACATAAGTATTATTCTTGGATCTGTTTCGACCGATTAGAAATATATACTTGTCGACAAGTGAAGAAGTTCTTCACTTGTTCGATAAAATGTAAAAAGTGTCAATGAATCAGGACAATACCGTATTCTCTCCTGATTTTTGAGAAGTTCAAAGTACGTATAAGTGAGGGAGAAGACCTGTGGCTGATGAATCGGATCGTGATAGGTCTATCTGACTGACCTATTCCGATCGTATGCTTAGGAGAAGTCGAGACACGTTTACGAATATCTTCTTGTCTATGAACAGATGACGGATTTATTCGTCAAGGATCGATTGTCTAGCTTTAGAGTTAGTCATAGGTTATCTACGTGACTTCCCAGGTTAAGTATCTGAGAATGCCTTATCTCAGTGAGATATCATTCATAATTTCAGTGCAGTAAGAAATTGGATTTATTTACTATAAGAAAATTTGAGTTTACCATTAAAGCAGTGTTTATAAAAACGGAAATGGCTTCACACTATAAATATAAAACGAAAATCCATTTCATATAGTTACAAATGCCCAAAACCCTTTTTTAGTTTTGTAGTATACGCTTCTTTTTTCAGACTGTAGTATCTAGGGATTTCATAATGGTATTGCTTCCTTATTCAGAAAGACCGATGATGAATAAATGATAGACTGAGTGAGAAATCATGATCCGGGATCAACCTCTCACTCAATATTACCTGTTAGTTTACGTTTTATCTCGTATGTGTAAAAAATATTCTGAAGAATACTTGATTTTATATGCTTCTCCACATTATTATCTACATCAGATATATACTGTTGTCTAATTTTCTTATACGAAGGTTTTGATATGTGTTGTTGGGGAATGTTTTTTTATTAAGATATCAATGGATACACAGCTATTGACACAACTCACTGGAAAAGCGTAAGAAAAAAAGAAAAAATATAAGCTACGTCGTTGTATCAAAGAAACTAAGAAAAAATAGCAAATGTTAATACTATGTTTCTACATGTGTGAAGCTTATTCTGCAGTCATACATACCAAAACATCAAATATTAGTTGAGTAATACTTCTTAAACTTTAAAATATATATGATATGGTTTACTCAAGCCCTTTTCCAGGGAACTGATATTGGGGTTCTTTATTATAACTAAAGAAGGGATATTTTTTTATGGGAAACAAACAATATTTTCTATGATATTTGCCTCCAGATGTGTAGAATACACAATCTTTTATCCTTTTCGCGCTAGTTTGCAAAATCAACAGAACGTGTCTCTTTGCGAAGTGAACACGATAGTAATTGAATTATGAATGATATCTCACTGAGATGGACACATTTTTCTAGTTGAGTTATAAGTATGTCGTACACTGAAACATTAACGTGTGACCACCATCGATCGAACATCAATAATACTTCTGATTTACATCCGCTATCAACAACTATGTTTTCATTGTAAAAATTTGTGTTCGAGTAGTAAAATTTGACGTTCTGTATCGATCTCAATCTATTCTTCTAGCGACGCATTTCAAAACAATGGGAATACGAATATATTCCCAATTGTTAAGAGTTACTGTAGTTCTGACTGTATTACTGGTCGAGACCGAGCGAAGTATTCGGCTGTACCAAAACGAAAAGAAACATACAACAGGAGAACAGGGACAGATATATTCAAACAATATGACAAGTAAGGTTCGTATCATTACGTATGGAAGAATCAAGAACTATTGATTTAACGTGTCGTAATTACTTTAATTCGTTTTCACCCTTAGTCTTTCCGTCTGCTATCTAAATAACCGTTACAACAGTATGAAAAGAAACTGTTTTTCATCGCGTATTAGACAGTGATGTTCTTCTGTTAAAGAAGCTTTCTGTTTCTACAGCTGGCAATTTACTCCATTGTGCAATACTTATAAAAAATCTGTTATTAAGAAAAAATTTCTTAAACCGGCAACAAACAAAGAAGGCATTATTATTAAAACAATAGCAGAATTTATTCGTCACATCGGAACACAAACAGATTATCGTGATGAATCATCCCAAACAGATCCCTATTCTCCTGCGTACACAATTACCGACGAAGGCAAACATCCGGAAATTTTTTCTTTGGCCGATTTATCCCATGGTAAAACGGCATAAATGGACGTATTTGTACAAGTACTAAACTTTACTCTATTGGTTTTTTTATATTAGGAAAAGGCTTACCAGCAACATCATTGGAAATATCATTTATTGAACGTTTAAGAGCTAAACGAGATTGGGAAAAAGATTATAATGATCCAGAAATGGAAATTAAACGTACAAGAATTGTTATTGAAAGAGAAATGAGAGAATGGAAAATACGAGAGACTAAAATTAAAACGTAAACATTTTTGAAATAAATTTTACATTTTGAGAAAAACGGTTATTATGGATTTTATCTACTGGTTTTATCAAATTTCAGCATTCAAGAAGCAAAATTGAAAATTTTCATGGTGAATTTACGCACATATGTTGAAAGTGACAATAAAGTAACAGACTCAAAACTAAAATTATGTTTATGGCGAAAAGAAAGACAATTGCATTTAACATGTACACGATTAAATTTAAACATGTTACGAGGTAAATATAATCAACTGTTACACGAAAAAATGAACATTAATACTATTTTTAGATCTTCGTCGTTTGAAGCGAATGTATCGTTTACGAGATGAACAAATAAATAATGTAACAAAATATGATGATCTTGGCGTAATTGGAAGTAGTGTTTCGGGTGCAGGATGTTTTGTGCAGTTAAAACCACCATTTCGTTCCAGACCAAAGGATAGTGTTGCTGCATATACAAATTATGCCTCGGAGACGTATGCGCCTTACACGCGACATGGATATTTTCCCGATAGACGAGCACATCGATTTAAAGTTGATACATCTGCACTTAACAAACACGAAAGTAAATATAAAAGCACATTCTACAAAGAATTATTGAAATACATAATCTAAGTATTGTTTTTAAGATCTAGTGAGGTTTGAAGAAACCTTACCCAAACATGCACTGATACCAAAAATTGAACCACCTAGATCGATGATGACAATTCACGATAGATTTATGAAAAAAAACTATAAAAGAATGAAAGATTTAGATCGAGCTTATCAAGTAGAAATACATAATGGTTTTAGAGATGTTTATAAATGTTTTCATTTCACTATAGTTAATTCAAGAAGAAAAGGCTAAATATTTATCAATACAAGAGCCAAAACCATTTAGATTTGTTGAAAAAATCGAAACCGTAGATGAATTTAAGAATGTACGAACCATGCCAGCAAGAACAGAAGTAAGTTTAAAAGAGAAAATAAATTGTAATTCAAAAATTATCCATATTATAAAATGATGGTTTGTCTTTAGGAATTTGATCGACGTAGAGCTGCAATCATTCATCTGCAAAGTTTTTTACGTGGAAAAACAACAGAAGCAAAGGTAAGAAAATTGTGTTATTAAAGTTTTTTCGAATAGAAACCAGTCTTTAGCTCTATTAGAAAAATTATTTTTAATGTAGATAATGAATGTTCATCAAATGCGATATAACCTTCTAAAAGAACTGAAAAGTGGTTCACAATTCGATCAAACAGAAGAAGAAACCAAAACAACAACAGAATGTCTATTTAAATTAAAATGGAACATTCCACCGGTAATTGCTTTTTGCATTAGCTCATGTACCAGATACACTGTTGATATTTCAGATGTCCATTGAAGATCAAGCATTAGAATATTTTGAAAGTGAAACAATATCAAATATATTTGATTTTTTAAATAAAGAATTGATACGATTACAAAGTGAACAAGCTATTCATGCTTTGATTATGTTGGCTGATAGACGACGACGAGAGCATGAAGCGGCTGAATCCGGTTCAAGGGCCAAAGCAAATGAACGACGAATGATAGAAGATAGAACATTTCAAGAAGTAGTTATTTAGAACAGTTTTGCAATCAGATGTTTTCAGTCAAGTTTGTGTTTATAGCTATTCTTATTGCACTCGGATAATGATATTGATAATTATTTGCACGAGTGCATTATGCAGAGCATTTATTATACAGCTGAAGAAAAAACACGAGAAGAAATTGAAATAACAGTACAAAAATTAGTAGAATTAACGAGACAAATGAACAATAATGAGTATATTCATCCTTAGTGTATAAACATGATAGCTCTATTTTCATGTTTTTAGATCAAATAGTTTGGAAGTGGAAGCAGCTATTGCTGACCTTGTTCATACTTTCTTGTTACCCACAGTTCAACGTTTAAGTGAAAGACGTACAAGTATATGACTGTTTAATTAATTATTTTTGAGTAGTGTAGTGAATATTTTCTCTATCTTTCTAGTTCGTCAATCTCAATTGCCATACTTAAAGGCGGCACATGAAGCGTGTGTATCACAAATAGCCAATTTAGATAAAAATATTGCATGAAGTCAAGGATGATTGTAACAATGGACTCATCATTAACGCCAATATGAAGTGAAAAAAAAGAAATAGATAAATCTATTGGGCGACGAAAAAAATATGAAAAAATAGATAAGAGAATCACATCAGAGACAGATTTAGGTAAATCATAACATTTTTTTTAGTTTTAACTATATATCACTATTCCTTAGTAAATTACTGCCAAGATTTTCAATAACTCTAGTAAACTGTAGTTTCATAGTCCACTATGAAGAAACGAAACTAGTGATATTTTACAATGTGCAAGGCTATTTTAGATTTGATGTTAATCTTCCCTCAATAACATATTTTTCATGATAAACGACCTATATTTATTAAAGAATAAATTTAAATATAAAGAAAACGAAGAGCACCAAATCAGGATGATGTTCTATTAGAAAATATTTGTTCTTTGGCTTTTGCTTGTTTTCGTTCTTCCCATATTGTAGCGCCAGAACATGTACATAAACGTTTTGTGTTCTCGAATAATCCTGCACTACGAGCTATAATTCCACATGCTAAACGTGGTTCAGAATTTCCTGTCATTTTTGATAAATAATTATCACCAAGGCCATAATCATCTTTGTTTGCATGGACAACAAACGACCGTCCAATTATATCTGATACTTTAACAAAACGATTTAATAAACGAAACCGAGCTGAACCATATTCATCGGCTACAACATTGCCCAAATCACCAACGTGCTGCAAATATCGTTCAAGAACAAAGTTAATCTTGCTCAAAAAATAACTACGCACATTTTCTCACCCTTTCACTATCTGTTGGTCCTCCGTGTGACTTACGAAATGGATTATAATGATCTCCACAACTACAAGACAATATTGCTTTAGTTTAGATGATTATATACATAATATAGTACTAGATAAAACTATAGACAGTACAGTAATTTTGAGTTTTCTCGTCAACTAAGATAGCGGTAAAAAAATTCATAAAAAGATTGGGAAAATATTTCCTATCAGAGGAGCTGGATTGAAACATTCGGAAAATTTTCGTAGAATTAGACTTTTAGGACAACCAAAACTCCCAGAAAACCAAGTTGCAGATCTTTTGAATACAACTTAGCCGTATAGAGCAGTTTTTCTTTAAGCAAAGTGAGATGTCTCACAGTTCTCCACGACCTTTCCTCACAAAACTGCATTTCTAAAAACAGCTCCACGCCGTCAAAAACACAAACACAAAAAAATCAGCAAAAATAAATTAGCATTAGAGCCACCTTGAAAATGAATGCAAGTTCGTGAAGAAAAATCGTGGAGAACTGTGAGACGTCTGGGTACTATCTATAGCGCGTGGTGCAGAAATAATGGGCCACTTTTGTTTCCTATTTCTGAGACACTTAGATATTATTTGAAGACTCTGCTCTAGACTCAGAAGATAGAGAATTTTCTACTCTACAAAAAGCAAAAAAATTTTTTTTTTTAATTTTCTCTCTCCACGATATTTATACGTTGTTTCATTGTTTGAAAAAATAACGCAGGTAAGAAGCATAACTGCGATGGATGAAACAGATTGTATTTCTTTTTATACTCAATCTGATTAATTATTAAGTAATATTTTCATTATTGATTCATTACAGGTACTTTTTGTCCTCATTTAGTTAATCCTCATCGAAAAATTAAATTTTTTGTAACATTTTTTCTGACTAATAATACACGATCCAAAAATCATAAGTCAGTTTTGTATTTAATTTTTTTCAATATTCTCTACGGTTCCAAGATTCTTTCCATCTGTCAGAGATAGAGGATTTTCTGTTCTACAAAATTCAGCATGTCAAACACTTACTCCACATTCTTTGGCTAATTTTTTCCTGCTTTTTGTCAAACCAGACGAGGTCTGGAAGGACTGATAATTCTTATGCAAGAAAAATTTTTAAGTTTTGATATCCTGTGAAGACGATAGCTCTAAATAGAGCCCTGCATCTGCTAAACATTTCTATGCCTACTTCTATCAGTTTCTACATTATGATTATCCAAAAGTCGAAAATTCTCTAGAATTCTGAGTGAGCGTTGCAGTTGTGTTTCTTACCTGTTTTCAAATAATGAAACAACGTATACTGGATAGAGAGAGCTGTAGAGTAGAAGATTCTCTATCTTCTGAGTGTAGAGCAGAGTCTTCAAATAATATCGGGGTGTCTTAGAAATAGGAAACAAAAGTGGCCCATGATTTCTGCGCCATGCGTTAGTTTTGTCCATTACGGTGTAAGAAAAACTCTAGTGCTGCAGTTAGATGTTACCTGTCACAGCCACTTGATAAATCTCCAAATTCGTGTATATTTATTCCATGTTCACCCGGACTCAAACCGTCAATTGAACCATCAACAACGCATGTATTTTCTTCAACTTGAATAAACCGAACGAGACCACATACGCGTGAATCTTTACCAACTACAGCTGACACAGCTGATCCGAGACCTATTTTATTGAAAATATCTTATTGTCTTATCAATAATTAAGTATATATTCCTATATTACCGGCGCCCATGAGCACAGCATCAGTCTTAAGTGAATTTTCGATTATGTTTTGTACTTTGCTTGATTGTAATGTTGTTTCAACGACGACGCGTTTATTGTCGAGATTAATATCAGCATTTTTTATACCTTCAATAACAGCAGGAACATTGTGTTTTATTGCATAAGAATACAAGATATTATTTTCGTTTACCGTTTTGGTTCGAGAGAATATTTCGAAGTTCAGTTACTTTTTGTTGATCATTTATATCAACGATAAATTCTAGCTAAAAGTAAAGCATTGCTTGACAACTGTCAAAAAAGTTCGATTCTTCGTATCACAATACCTTTACTGGCCGCTGTTCTTCTGCAGATAACATTTATTTGATAAAGGAAATATCGTCTACAAAACATTATTCGTCTTATAAATCGGCATAAATTAGACTATAATTCTAACATTCATCCGCTTTTTGTTTCATTAAACTCAAATATAAATTGTTTTCAAAGTACCGATCAAAATGCATATTGGCTATCAGATTTATCACACTAATCACTAGACAAGTGTGATGAATGTTAAAATTTTAAGCAATTTTTAGTAGCAGTGATAGAGCATCACGAATTGTTACGTATTATTTTTATATTATGATAAAAATACGAGAGATCATCTGTCAACAACGCAAGCACATAAGTTAGTATTGAGCATCATGTTTATATGTAAGCTTTAATAATCTCAAAAAGGAAAAGGAAATGGGTAAATGTAGTATTATAAACGTTTATATCAATAGATACACATTCACGCGCATAGAGAAGAAGTAACACTATTAAAAAAAGATGAGATTTTCTCGTAAAAAACATCGGGTTCAATAATATTGAACAAAATACAATAAATAGTTCATAAAAAAACATCAGAGATCAGAGAATAAGAAACCATAAATATATATAAGAAGGAAAGAAACTACAAAATAAACAAAGACAAGGAAAAGACAAAGAAAACTAACAACTATTATAATAAAAAAACAGAATTCTCATTTTCTGAAACATCATATGGAAAAGGACGGACAAAAAATAAATGATTGTTTAGTTCATGAATCAATTCCACTATCGACTTAGTGCAGCAATAAATACAGCTAGTATTGAAATCATTGCTCATTGATGCTGTCATGAAATTACGATATGTCGATCGAAATATTTCTCACTACTATTGAAAAACAATTGAATCATTTTTATGATGATGGCCTTAAATTATGTTGAAAAATAATATTCAACGATTTTCGAGCAACTCATCAAAACCAAAACCTGAATAAAGAATGAGTTGACACATAAATACTATTTACAATGAGAAAACAAATATATATAATATTTATGGCTTTATCTTTCGTGCTGTACGTTGTTTTTCAAATCGATTTTCCATTTCAATTAATACTTGTGGACTATAACGGACAACTAATTTTACCATGCCTTGTGCTTGTTTCAATAATTCCACCGCTTTTTCATGATATTCATTTTCAACCGATACACCATTGACTGATAATAATTGATCACCTTTTTTCAAGCCACCATGTTTAAAAGCAACACCATTGGGAATTACACGTGAGATATAAATTGGTGAATTTTGTTCACGACCACCCATGACATTAAAACCAAGACCTTCTGGAGTTTTAGGTAATTCAATCACACGTGGATGAGAATGACCTTCAGATGCTGCAAATGCTGCAACCTGAAATAGAAAATACACAAATATATCAATTTTTTATGCAGATTTTTAAATAATACTTACGGTTGCTTTTGCTGTTGCATTTGCTCTTACATCGGGTGATCCGCTTATTTGAACTGTTTCATATATTTTTTCATAAACTTCTAATACAGCATGAAAAAAGTCACTTTCTAATATACGTTGTAATTCTAATAATTTTTGTTCTGGTATTTCGCTATTTGTACGCAATTTTTCTAATAAAGCAATTGCTCGATCAACATCTTTTTCTAAATTAAGACCTTCAGCTGACATAATTTTTTTAATCTAAAAATAACACAAAATACACTATAAAATATCCATACCAATGACCATCATCATAAACGTTCAAGTTAAGATGAACTAGAACAATGTCATTTTGCGTATTTTATTATGAATAAAACAGTGAAGAGAATCAACCAAATAGAATGAGAAAAAAAACGGTAATAATATTAAATGCAATTAATGGTATTCTCATAACAGTTCGAACAGATCGAATTAGATTAAGTGCTTGAATTTTTGGACCAGGTTCATTGCCATATCCAGATACAAATTGTCCATTGGAACTAACTAGAAGATAATTAAAAATGTTAAATTTTACATAAAAAAATTTGATTTTTTTTGCTTACGTTTTGATAAAAATCTTTGTTCATTTAAAATAGCAATTGCATTTATACATAATAAAGCGGCTTCAATTAAACTATACAATGTAAAAGCCATGTCTTTCTTTTACCTACTAAAAAAGTAAAAATAATTTTCAAACATATTCTGTACTATACTATATTAATTATTCAAATATACACACTAAAAAACTTCACACGTTCGAATTGTGAAATAACGTGACGAGATAACAGCGTGAAAGATACATGGTATTAAAGAAAATATCCAATCATATTAATGGATATATATCTATAGTCTCTCTCAAACGATATGTACCAATTTCTGATGTAAATTTGAGAAAAAAAAACTACATAATTGTTTTTTTGTTTTGTTTTTAATCAGTTAATCTTAATTTGATTCATCATATTATAAATATATAGATATAGATATGTAGCCTATCTGGTCTAAAAACGTATAAATGAACAAAAAAAAAAATAAAACACGATTGTTCGAAAGCAGAAAAAAATGGAATAAATAAATATGGAACAGAAAAAAACAAACAAACCAACACTAAGTATTTTTCTAAAGGCAAACAATATACACAACGATTTTGTTAATCAAAAAAAAAAAGTATAGATCCCATTTAAAAATTACACGAAAAATCAAGTGTGTAGACAAAAAAAGAAATCAAATTTATGTAGCACCCAGAATAAAACAATTTAAATATTTTTTGAAAGGCAAGTGAAGGGCAGGGTCTGTAAGCAGTACATTCTGATCCATGAAGAAAAAAACTATATAGTTCGGTGGACTTAATTCAGGATTATATTATCAGAGACTTAGGCTGTACAAAAGTAATCATCAATCATAATATGAAAAGAAATGTTTAACACACTGGTGCTATTTTCAGATAATACAAATAATCATTAATAAATAAATATTTGATTTAAAGATTGTATGTCGCTACTTAGAAATCTCTTTTTCATCTACACTTGATAATTAGAGTTGACGATTTGTTTTTAAGATCCATTGCACGTTAGACGTGACCTATATTGTTCAATTGATGTCTGAGTTTTCCGCTCAAACCTTCAAAGAAAGGACTAGTGTCAAGTTCCACAGTTTCGTGGAAATTCCAGAATTCAAAATGTCGCTTTCTCATGTCTCATGTCCCTTCCTCCCCCACACTTTTACATTCTCTATATGAATCGGCAGATTCTGGTAGAACTCGTATTGGAATTCAACTGGATTCTGAACAGAATCTTCGTAACAGTATATATTTGAATGTGTTGAATTCTAGCAATTCTAGGAACTGTAGAACTGGATACTGCTGCAAAGAAGGTAATGGCAACGTATCTACGAAGATTCTCAAAATCTTTTAACCAGGTCTTACACTCTTCAAAAGTTAGGGAGTTTTCTTGTAAAAGTGGTAAAAACAGCCGAAAACGATAATTGCATAAAAATAAAAATAGTCGTATTTATATTTTGGTCTAGAAAGTAGGTTAAGAGTTTATACTTGGATCATAAGTGATCAAGGTTGAGTACTATCTATAGCCACGAGCACATGCAAAAATAATTGTTGCCTGTGTGCGAACATATGTGGACAATACAGCAACAATTTCACCTTTGTTCAACTTTCGAAAAAAAATTTTCCTAGAAAACCACACATGCTCAAATATCATCGATATATGTAGTACAAGTGCGCGATTACAGAAAATGACTACTTTAATTTAATTAGATGATATGATGGAGCTCAAAAGTGGTTCCCAAACGAAATGAGGCTCTAATCAAAACTTAATTTTCTCGTCCGATACCTCTTAGAATCCGGGGACTTTTATGTCGTTAATAGCTATTACTGTTGGACGATCGAAGTCTGAAAGCAGGTTTATGGTAAATTCAACTTTAACATTTTCGGATACGTTAGCGAATTTTGAAGTAACAGTTTTCAACAAGTTGAATCTGTCATAAAAAAAATCTGCATAAATACTGTCCGCATATGGTCGCACATAGACAGCTATAGGTAGTACTCAACCTTGATCATTTATGATCCAAGTATAAACTCTTGAACTACGTTCTAGACCAAAATATAAACACGACTATTTTTATTTTTATGCAATTATCGTTTTCGGCTGTTTTTACCACTTTTACAAGAAAACTCCCTAACTTTTGAAGAGTGTAAGACCTGGCTAAAAGATTTTGAGAATCTTTATAGATACGTTGCCACTACCTTCTTTGAAAAATCAGACATCTATTGGATAACTTCAGTTACGTCTACTGTACAACTTAAGTGAGATAGTGACGTTTTGGCAGAGAGAAATACAAAAAAATAGATAAACAGCCGTTGTTTGAAAATATAAGGTATTCTTGTTCGTTTAAAAATATTCTTAGTAAATAATAAAATGAGTGATAGGTTATTTTTTTATGAAAAATAGTAGTTCAGACACAAGCGTAAGTATAAAAACAAAACTTTTCTTTTATACTATTCGAAAGAGCGACATATTATCACATGTTTTACTTAGGTCCTTTTCTTCCATTTACATGATTTGTGCTAGTTGTTTTTTGTGCTGACGACTGTGGATGTAAAGCTTTTTTTATCATGTTCTCGTATTGTTTAATATCAAAATCGGTAGCTGGAAATGATCGATGTTTCAAATGTAACAAATTAATATAGTCTGTTTCCGTATATTCTTGTCCTTTTTCTTCAATAATTCCAATAATATCATCTGGTCTGGAATACAATAGTTCATAGTATCGGTGAGCACGCATCAATTCCGCATCACCACCACCAATGGTACGAATTTGTGTAAGCGTTTGTTCAATACTAAAAATATTTCGACACATTTTTGTAATACCGGTTTCACTGATTCGAATAAAACGTGGTGATGATCGAATAAGAATAGTGGCCAAAACAAAACCAAGTCCTTGAAATAAAAATTGAAATTTTTCATCATTTAAACTTGACATTAATGTTTCTTGTAAACGTGTTAAATCACGATTTAAATTAAGAATATTTTCATCAGGATCGGTATCAATAACCGATGAATAATGTGAAGCATTACGAAACAAAAGAGATAAATGATAAAAACAATGTAAACGAATTTCCAGAAATAATACAAGTAACATATCATAGGATAATGTTAAAATAGTTTTCATTGCATTTGAAAATATTTCCAAATTTGCACGAGATAATTTTAATAAATCATACTGATGTTGAACATGCTTTTGACGAATAGGAGTCGTAGTATTTAGATTTGTATTTACTAAAATAACAATGGATATAAACTATGAAGTTGTTGTTGTTATTTTTTTATTATTATTATTATTATTATTTTTGCTTCTCACCTGTTGGACTCTGACTTGCCGATTGTTGTGTCAAATAATCTAAATACATTGGATCATTCAAACATTTTTCTAATATGTCAAAATAATAGGATAATTTATAATACAACCAATCTAAACTCTCATGACAATTTGCCAATAGTTTAATTTGTTTATAATTTGTACATATATCATCTAAATTCATTTCATCACGATTAAAATTAATCAATAATGTTTCTGTTTCTTTTGTTTGACGATAGCGTATATTATCAATATTTTCATTTATTTCAGAATGCGCTTTTGCTGACGTTGTCAATACACTATTTGATGATGTTGTTCGATTTCGAATAAAAGTATCAAATGCAGGCATTGTTCGTAAATGGCGATTTATGTCCAAATCTCTTACCTCAAGAAAAATAAGACAGCAAGGTTGAAATAGTCAGTTTCTCATTCTCTTCAATACTTTCTATTCGTTAGTTGAAAAACGAGCTTAACTATAGCATGATTTTTTCCGGTATGTGGACAAAAAACTATACTCGAGTAGTACTTGATTATCAGAGACATCTCAAAAGAAGAAAATTTTTTTCCAGCTTTCAGTAATAAAGAGTTTTCAACGTTCATATCTCTTTTTCTACTTAATACTGTCAAATTTTTCAGAAAATATCAAATATTTTTTGAAAGATTTAATTAGAAAATTCGTCAATATTTTTTTTGGACACATGTAGAAAAGAAATATGCAAGTATGAGAACGAATATTCATGACACTGTACTCGAGTTAGTAAATACTGGTACTTGTTTATTACTAACTTACCCATTCCATAGAATAAATAGATGATGCTGTTGTTACATTATTATTATTACTAACATAATCGGGTCGTTCAACAATGGATGTAAATAGTTTTTGACATGATTCTCGATGTTTAAATAATAAATCAATAATTGCTTGGCAAAAGTCATCCGCATAAGGTGGTAAACATTTTACAAGCGAACATAATTCTTCACAACTTTTGTAAATTAAATATGTACTTTGTAATATTGGAATATGAATATGTAATTGTTTTTGTAAAACTAACGGGATTAATTCAATAAAACGATTATTATCATTATTCATATTAGGTGATGATGTGGACGATGATGTTGAAACAATTTGAGCCGATTCTCGAATATCTTTGATGACACGGCCAATAAAACGATCACGAATGAATTCAGTAAGTTTTCTAAATAAAAAAAGCATAACATGAATTCAATATATACTGATCTTTTTAGATATATCTAAACATCGATTAAACGAATTTATTAAGACCGGTAGACATATACCCAGGATACATGTTTTGTAAAATCAATATGTATGCTGAATAATGATAAATACGGTATCATTTTATTTATTAAAAGTTGTTCTAAACGAATATATAACTGTTTTATTAAATTAAAACGTGTTTTGTAATAAAAAAAGCTTAATAACTAGTTTAATAGATGTATCACCGTACTCAAAGGTTATAAATGGCAGGGAACAGCCAGTCTTATTCACACACTATACTGATAACCGAAAAGTGGAATAATCTTCTTTTTTCCTTCGAATAAGCACACTGAGTTTAATTGTCTTGTTTTCTTTCAAACGTTATATTAAAAAGACTTCTCTGCACTACATTTTGAAAAGGATGATAATATGTTTAAGTTCATCACTTTTGAATGCTTCATGGTAACCTGTGAAACTCATATACTAACATATCTACACTATAATCATCTTACATTAAAAGCAGTAACAAGATCACCTTACAGAAAAAATTCAGATCTTTAATGAGTTCTATTTCCTTTCGGAAATGCGCAGTGTAGAAATGTCGTTTAATAATGGATCGAGACGAATTGATGCATAAAAAAAAGAACAGATACATACTTATCTAGAATTCTTTTTGATGAATGTAATTTAATGTTTTGATCAATATCATCGATAATCCGTTGTAGTACATGATGAACGGTTGTTATATTTCGATAATTTGGTTTACATACATATTGTTTATAGATGCCGGCCGTTGAAGTTGAAGCAGCTGTTGTTGAGTCAGCCGGTACCGTCGACGGTATCGCTGGTGTTGGCTGTGATGGTAAAAATCGATTTTGTTCTTGAAAATAATTTGTCATCGATACAACTTGTGCGGAATGTTGAAATTCAAACAGTTTTTGTTGTGATCGTTGTTGTGGTGTATATTTTTTTGTTAAATAAGGTGAAAAATCAATGAGACTATGATGATGATGGGAGTAATCTTGTTGTGGTGGAAATTCAACAGTATTATTATAATCGATATATTCATTCAGTACTTCACTTAAAACGAGTTGCAACGTCTCCCAAACAATATCAATTGAAAATAGACCTGGAATTTCGAATTGAACGGGCTGATAGCTGGATGGAAAAGAGAACGATTGTTGTTGCTGATTAGCAGTTTGCTTTTGCGCAGCTGATGAATGCTTCGAATACATACTTTTTGAATCTAGAACATAGAAATGTCAAGTTTTTTAGCCTAATACTTGCATATATTAACATTTTTAAGAAAACTAAGTATATTTAATATAATTGAAAAACATTTTACATAAAAAGCGAGCTTTCGATACTCACAGTATCATCGTGAGATTAATATAACTATTGAATTACGAAGAGAGAGATGATTATATACATTAGATAGAGGAGACCTATCCCGAAATGTGCCCTTTACGCCTTATATCCTTTTGTACAACAGACCACCACAACTAACCAAAATAGAACTTCGTTTTCTATATCTTACCGTGCTCTTGCTGTTGTTGTAAATTCAAAGCGTATTGTCTTTGTTGTACTTGTACGGGAGCATTTTGATCATTAACTAATCTCAATATACCCAAAACATATTCAAATGCTTTGACAACTAGTTTAAACTGTTCATAACATGTTTCAAGTAAATCTCTCAAATAATCAAGATTGTTCAATGTTAGTGAAGTCGTAGTTGCTGTACTCATTACCGACAAATTCAAAAAATTATTGTCGACAATATGTTGCGTTGTTTTAATAACAATTTTATGTAATTGTTCATGTAGTTGTTTTTGAATAAAATCAGTTGAATCATTTAAACGGTGTAACACGGCTAATGATTGTATAAGAACTTCGAGATATAATTCTGATGAATATTTAATATCCACTAATAGATATTTATCAGGTACGATCATACTGGTCGAACTCTCGAATGTCAATTTTCCCTGATCAAAATCATGATCTAGTTGTTTTCGTAGTAGACGATTTTCACGAATTTTTGAGATATACGCATGATCAGAACCATCACTACTACCCGTTAATTTTGATGTTGTGCTCTTATTGCCCAAAGTATCGCGACACGATTTCATATACAATTGATCAATCAATTCTAATTTCAATGTTTGTTCTAATGCTACTCGTTCTTCTTTTATTTGAACATCAATATCGGATAAAGCATTAATTAGCCTGAAAGACAAAATATTTAAAAAAAAGATCTACTACACCCACTGAGATTCACCTTAATTCATTATGTTCTTTTGCTTTCAATAATAGAAATGCTGCATGTAAATATAACTTTTTACTCAAATAAAATTGTAAGCGAATTGGTACATGTTTCAATTCATCAATATTCATGTATAGTTTAACTAAAGCATTTTGTTCTGATGTTAACAGCCATAATTTTCGTATATCTTGACGCTTTAATAATAGTAAATTTTTACATTCTTTTAAACGTTCACGTACAGAATTAATTCGAAGTTTTGATTGTTCAATAGAATTATAAATATCACTGAAATATTTGATCAATTCTGTTAAATCTGTTGTTGATGATTTTATACATCGATCAATATTGAGATTTGAACGTTCAAATCTTTCATTAACAAAACGTCGTTGTTGTTCACGAGCTTCCGTATTATCACGATTATAAGTTAAATCACGGATAATTTTCATTAAAATGAACGTTGTTGATTTATTATCCATTTTTGGCTCTTGAGTGAATGAAAAAAAAATCTGCAAAAAAGAAACTAAAGTCTGTTCATAGCATGAAAGTTTTAGATTGTCACTAATATTACTGAATAACTTTTTTTTACTGTCATTCTTTGGTGACTAAATTGTATTATAATATTCTATAATGAAACTAACAAAAAGCACCAAGTATACGAATAACGACACATTTAGGTTTAAATTTAGAACAAATGAAGAAAATTAGAAAAGAAATATTTGCCAACTTAATTATAGATGTTAGACAGCTAATTAGATGATCTTCTAATGCGATAGTAATTAGAGTTAGGATATGCCAGTTCAAGTTTAGTTCTTTCAAACGGTAACTGGAAAATGTGTGAAAAGTAACAAACTGTCAGTGCAATATGGAGTCATTTGTTCCAGTTGTTTTTATCACTTTCAAGAATATTAGGGCTTTTCACATCCAGTGTCCAATTAGGTACTATTTACAGCTAACAGGAAGTAAGCAAGCGATGAAATGATGCTCGTATTACACGTTTCTTTCCCACCAGATGTCAATTTGTGCCGTCAGAGATGTCCGTCATCCAGTATCAAAAAAGATCCAAAAGATAACTTTGATTCATCACAGGTTTTTTAGAACTTCAAACCTTTCAGAAGGTGTTATTGAATCCCTTTTTTCTGTGAAATATACGCTCAAAATTTTGAAAAGTATCCGTCTACTAACTGTTGCTTCTTATTTATTTTTGACAGCTATTAAATAACTGATAACATCGTGTCGATTGCTCATGTCATCAGAACCGCTAAAATACCACCGGTTACCGCCGAGTATAATGGGAGGTTAACCTAATGGACATGTGAAATTATCGCACGGTATACGGGTGGGTTGTACCAGCGGTATCAACCGGTATTTTATCAGTGTGAGCAAACAGTACAGGAGGTCGAATCTAGTTTTCAGCTCTCTTTTTTTTGCAGTGCGCATGCAGCGCAATGAGGTTTCCGAACGGGAAAAATTTGACTCAAGTAAAAGTGCAAACTTCGACGAGTCTTTGATGTGAAAGAGAAAGTTTAATCTGAAAAATAACCAAAGTTTTTTGACTTTTCTGCGTTTCTTATATAGACTGCCAACTGCAAAACAAAAAGGTGATTGTGTCAAAACGGTTTTTTCTTGCACCACGGTCTGAAAACTACCGTGCAGTAACCACCGGTAGAAGAAAAAACCGTCGCTAAACCGGTCGTTATACCGAACGGTACGGTTAACCAGCGGTAGTCTATAGACCGGTCGGTAACCGGCGGTATTACGAAAAAAAGTGCGACATGAGTGCACAACTTCAGTCGTTGTACAGAATATAGACACAGAACAGTGGATTTGGTTCTGCAGTTTACCGCAAAGCTAAGTTCATATGTTCGAATCTCTATTCGTACAAAAAATTGATTTTGTGTTTTTCGATATTTTTATTTTAGTACTATAATGGAATATTTTTCCTCTTGTATTCTGACCAGAGTTCCCAGATGGTCCGCATTTTGGAGTTTTTTCCGCAATTTGTCCTCATTTTAAGGATTTTCTGCTTTTGCTGTTTTTCCCCTGTTCATATAAGATTTAAAAAGAAAATTTTCTATCTATTGAGGATACTCTTCTTTCTTTTTTCGTCCAACTAACTAGCCAGTCACTCGTCAATTTATAATTATTTCTCACCAACGCCAGATCTGCTTAAACTTGTTCATTTTAATAAGAAATATACAGTCCAAAAACAACGTGTCAACTAAAACTAAGGCATACATTTCTGTTTGTTGTTCTCATGCGTTTTATTTGAATAAAACCACAAAGTGCTAGAGACAACATTTTTTTGACTCTCTATGCGTGAAAACGGCTGAAGTTAGACCATGAAAATGCGTTTCCGCTTTTTATTCGCATTTTGGGATTTTTATTCCGTATTTCTGACCTGAGCATCTGGGAACTTTGATTCTGACAGAATAAAGCTTATATCCAACGAATGAGTTATACTGAAGATGTAAATAAGCTGCAAATAACAGGTGATTATGTTAATGGTGAAGCAAATATACATGATAGTACGCTTTTATTAGCTTTTTATTACAGTATATGAAGTTTAATTTATGTTTGAAGCCAAGCGTGGAATCGATAAATAACGACTTTTATGATTCACTCTTCTATTTATTACTGGTCGAAAGGCAACCTATCGCTTTTTATTACAAGAAACACTACGACGGAGCATTCGAAGGTGGTAACTTGAGAGATGATTTCTTTTGATTGCTTATCGTGTAGAGCATATCGACCTCTACTAGAAAACGCCTACTCAGATCCAGACTTCAATAAGGATTATAAGAGAGCTGTAGTTTATTTCACCAGCAAAACTGGCGCAACCTTCAACACCTTTTACCAAACTTAACGCTTAGTGCTTTTTTCGGAGGCCTAAGACTAAGAGTAAGACTGTTTTATTCATGAAAAGTGTGAGTCATCCAAGTTCATCGAACTGTAATACCAATAACTCAAGCCAAGCAACATCAAAAGAGTAACAAAAAAGAACAGGGGCCTGTTTCTTAAAAAAACTTAAGTAGAAAATCTTACTTAAGTCAAAAAAGACAAAGACTTTTTTGGACTTAAGTTTGACTTAAGTCAAAAAAGACAAAGACTTTTTTGGACTTAAGTTTGACTTAAGTCAGATTTTCTACTTAAGTTTTTTTAAGAAACAGGCCCCAGAATAAACAAGACAACTACCGTTACTACCAGAAGTAGTAAAAAGGAAAAAAAAAGGAAGTAAAATAATTTTTTTTAAAAAGAAAATAAGAAAAAAAGAACAAATATAAATTCATAACTGACATGTTTCACTGGAAGAGATACTGAAGTAAAGCTGTTTTGGAAGACGTTAAAGAAGAAAGACAAATAACTGACTCTGGGAGATTATTCCAATCAACAATAGTTGAATAAAAAAAAGAAGCATGCACCGTTTGCGGAGAAAAACCATCAACAGAAGATGGAATGCGAACATATTTAGAGTGATGAAGACTTAAAGATCAGTAGTGAGGACGATGAATAGTATAAAAAAGAGAAACAGGACTTAGACGATGATAAATTTTGAAAAACTGTAGAAGTCTAAAGTATTTATGACGAAGAGAGAGTTTAGGAAAGGAAAGTTGAGATATAAGTAGGGAACTAGAAGAACGATAGTCAAAATTGCGAGAAATAATACGAGAAGCAAGTTTGTTTACAGAATCAAGAACAGTAAGAGAAAACGAACTATCATACAAGGCACAGCAATAGTCAATTTTAGGAAGAATAGAAGAAAGATAGATCCGACGCCGAACTTCAGTTGGAGCTAATCCAAAGACACGATTCAATGCTCCATGCTTGCGTCGACAAGCAAGAGCAATGTCCTTGGCATGATCATTCTACCTAAGATCGTGCGAAACAAGAACACCAAGACAACGAACAGAAGACACAACAGAGAGAGGAACACCATTGAGATACAATTGATTATAAACGTACGGAAAGAGATGGAAAGTAAAAGGAAGCCAACAACATTTAGAAACGTTTAGAGACATGAGATTGGTAGAAGATCAATGAGAAAGAGAGTTTATACAGTTTTGAACATGAGAAAAATTAGAAGAATCAGTAGGGAAAAGAGGAACAATCAAAAAAACATCATCAGCAAAGAGACAGATTTTACAATTAGGTGGGAGCGACAGAGGTAGATCATTAATAAAAATAAGAAATAAAAGAGGACCAAGCACACTGCCTGAGGAACACCAGAAGGAACACGAGAAGAAGAGGAGACAGAATCATTCACACGCACACACTGAGAACGGTTCGAAAGATAAGAAGATAGAAGAGACAACAAAGAATCACGCGAACTGGCACTGGGGCCTACAGATTTCTGACTCCCAGCACATTCTACAGATCACGTCTAGTTCATCGATCTCTAGAAAATGAGACGTAGAGCTATATTATAATATTTTCAAATCGTACCAGTGCCAGGTGGTCCATATAATAAAACTCCCTAAATAAACAAATGTCATTAGAAAATTTAATTTATAAATAAAACTCAATGATGATATGTAAAATAAAACGTCCTTTTCGTTGTAAAATTCCGAGTGCATCGAATAATTCAGGATGTTTTACGGCTAATTCAATCCCTAGTCGAGACTCCCGCCAAAGTCCCACGGGACTCCCGTCACGGGGTCTCGTGGGACTTTTTGAAAAACTCCCGCGGGAGTCCCAGTAAAGTCCCGAAAAATCTAAACAAAATTGAAAAATGTCCCGTGAGAGTCCCGGCAGGATCCCGTGACGGGAGTCCCTATAAAATCTTCGCAACGAAAAACCGTAGACAGCTCGAAAACGTCTTAAATTAAATTTTTAGCTCTTTTCTGCATTTTGAGATCTCTTGGGACTCTAGAAAATCTATCCTCAAAAAGTTATGATTAAAACGCCGCTAGCTATATTTCGATTTATTTTTTGGAAAAGTGGATCTCGCCGTTTTAATCATAACTTTTTGAGGTTACATTTTCTAGATGCAGAAAAGAGTTGACGATTTAATTTAACCCTTTGACTCTCGACTTTTTTTTATGGAACTTATGTTTGACAAAACATAGTGCTAAGTGACTAAGCAGTATTCAGAGGCTGCTGGTTAAGTTATAACAAAAAACTGTGTTTTCCTATGAGTATGCGTGTATTCAGTTTATTGTTGATACACATAGTTTTGATGATACAAAGAAAAACATTTTTTCACACAGAGACAAACACCACAAAAAATACATATTACATTCGTTCTTTTTTCTTTTTCTGTTGTACTACAATAAGCGCATCTACGATAAGTTGAAATAACATCTGGTAAATGAGCTAACAATCGTACTTTTTCAGAATCTTCCGAATCACTACTGCTTTTCTCGATGCGGATCTTCTTCTGACTACTCCTTGTCAAAGGTCTTCCTATTCGTTTTCTACTACAATAGCTACCTATTAGTGCGGTGCTAATATATGATATATATTTTACTGTACTAATATTACTACTACCAGAAAGATCTTTATAATAGATAAATGAGTTCACTACTGACATTCCAAGAAAATGAAAAAATATTCTC